GCTAGACATTTTGCAATATTGTAGGTCGGACTTCCAATGGCGCTCACAATGGGTCTCAGTGGTACCTCCGGTTTATGGATCTTGGGCAGTCCGTATAGCCTTGGTGGGAGTGTTTCTGATTTTTTGAGCTGTGCCAACTCCTCGGATGGAAATGTCATATCCTTAATTAATTTGTTCGTTGTTCTCAGTATCCGTGCCGTCGAATCCCGTGTCAACTTCTTGCACGTTGACGGGGTCAAAAGTTCTTTAATTTTGTCTTCCTTGTTCAATGAAGACATGACCACAGTTGCATTGCCCTGATCAGCTGGCAAGACGAGAATCTCCTTATCCCTATTCAGCGTTCTCAGGGCTTTTCTTTTACTGAAAGTGACGTTGCTCTTCGGAGGCTTTGAGCGTTGTAAAATTCTTGAAGTCTAGGCCCTTATCTGTTCTGCGGTTGTAATGGGCAGCGAACGTATGCCACTCTCTACATTTGATATCATGTCCCCTACTGGTAACCTGGACGGTACTATGGCAAAGTGAGGAATCCCTTGGCCAGCACGCTTTGTTCGTCAGCAGTGTTCGTCAGCAGAGGAAACGTCAGGAAGAAATTCCCATAGACCACGGCTTCAAAGCCCGGAAAACATTCCTAAATGTTCGAAAAATTGTTTCATATAAAAGTTATTCACGCACAAAGTGCGCACATTTTAGAAATATCTTATATGATACAGAGTGTCTCAGAAAAGCGAGGCATGATCAAAGTGTATTTTTTTAAATAGAAATACCCATTTTTATTAGCTCATAGAATGCAGCTTGAAACGCTGCATATGCACCGAAAATTGTTTTTTCTTACTTGCGACGTTGGCAGATTATCGCCATTTTAGTAAAATTTTGCTTAACAACATGGTATCTAAAAATTCACTGAAGAAGCAAAAAAAAGCAGTTAAAGATACAAAAAATACGTCTTTCCAATCACCACAGATCCGTTAAGAATTCCTTCTATTGAACCAAAATATCAACACATTGTACAGGACGTTAACAATGTGGACTCCAATTTAAAACTTTTTAATTCAATTTTGTTTTTTAAATGAAAGTACCTTTATATATTATATATTATGTATGTACGTATATTATGTATTATACGTCATTAGATAGACAATTTACAAAGTTACAAATTCCCATTTACACTTTAAGCTGTGAAATCAACCCTTTTCAAATTATAAATTATTTTATTTAAAAATTTCAAAAAGTTGTTAAATTTTGTAAGGTGGCTATGGAATTCGATAAATAAGTGTCAACATTTGATGATTCTTGACATGATCAATCAAGAAAAGTGCAACGTTTTATAAAATGCATGGAATTTCATAGCAAAAAATGTAATAAAACTGCATATGTCTATAAAAATAAAAATATAAAATTATACCTACAGTGATATGTTAAAATAAATGTTCAATATGATTTCCGTTAACATTTAAGCAACTATTAATATTTACGTTTTTGAAATTAATCGCTAACGGAGTTCAAAACAATATCATTAATGTTGTAAATTGTAATGTAAAACAGCTGTGATTCGTTCATTCTTGTCATCTTTTGTAGTTGGAGTTATTTTATAAATTTCGTTTTTGACGTAAGCCCATCAAAATAAATCCGTTTTGTCACATCGGGGTGAACGAGGTGGCCACTGAACAGGCCCACCTCTGCCTATCCACTTCTCAGGAAATTTATTATTTAGGTACTCATAAATTTGAGCTGTATGGTGAACTGGAGCTCCATCATGTAAATACCACATTCTTTCCTTGATATAATTAGGTAAATGATCAATTAAACGTACGTGGCAATTCAAATTTTGACACTTATTTATTGACTTAGCCACCTTACAAATAGTGACAACTTTTTGAAATTTTTAAATRCAATAAATTATAATTTGAAGACGGTTTATTTCACAGCTTAAAGTGTAAATGCAAATTTGTAACTTTGTAAATTGTCTATCTAATGACGTATTAATATACATGTACTTCCATTTGAAAAACAAAAGTTATGTTGGGTTAAAAAGTTAAAAAGTCCACATTGTTAACACCCTGTACAATATATTGATATTTTAGTTCAATAGAATTCTTAACCGATCTGTGGTTATTGGAAAGACGTATTTTGTTGTATCTCTAACTGCTTTTGTTTGCTTCTACAATGAATTTTTAGATACCATGTTTTTAAGCAAAATTTTAATAAAATGGCTATAATCTGCCAACGTCGCAAATAAGAAAAAACAATTAACGGTGCATATGCAGCGTTTCAAGCTGCATTCCATGAGCTAAAGAAAAATGGGTAGTTTTATTTAAAAAAATACACTTTGATCTTGCCTCGCTTTTCTGAGACTCTCTGTATCACATAAGATATTTTTAAAATGTGCGCACTTTGTGCGTCAACAACTTTTATTTGAAACAATTTTTCGAAAGTTCAACACCATCGGAAATAATGATATCTCGACACCCTGTCTATGATATCTCGACGAATAAGGTGCAGAACTCCTGCTGTTCAAAATATCGAGACAAGTAAAAGCTGCTCCTATTGAGACAGACCGAGCTTCTTCAATAAATTATTGATAACCTGGCTAGAAGCATGACAAGAGAAACGGCTGCTTTCATAAACATCCGTGGAGGACACACAGGTTACTGACAAGATTAAATACTTTTAAAAAGATTTGTTCATAAGATGTCTGGATAAATAAAAACTATTATAATTCACATATGACAATCACCAATATCGTGTCATGCAAAGCTGTTAAAATGTCACTCGTTCACTTCATAGGGCAATCAAAAAGTTTTGTGACATCGTTGCCCCCACCCATCAAGATCGACAACAATTTAGATTCATTCATCAGAAACTAAGCCACAATTCAGTAAAATGCAGAGGCAAATCCGAGGTTTCAGTGCCAAGGATGGGCTAAACGCCGATATAATACATGGAAACTATGGAAGCTCTGGCAGAAATAATCGAGGTGAAACGATCATAAGCTGCCTACTAGAAAACAATCGGTACATAATGAATAGCTGAAGCTTTTACGACAAAAAACAACACAGAAGATCGACTTGGGAAAGCCCCGACGGCAGAACACGACATGAGATCGATTATTTCATATAGATAAGAAAGGTATTTTAAAAAATGTTACAGTTTGGATCCTTCCGCAACAGGCAGCAACCACCGCATGATAAGAGCCAGCTTTAAGATAAGTCGGACAAAAGAAAGAAACAGAATGCTAAAAGAAAACGATAACAAAGTGAAAAGAACCAGAAGGAATAGATAAATACAGAGACGAGATTGAGAAAGTTTTAAATGAAAAAAAAACAGAAGCATATACCAAAAACAACATAAACACCAAAATAATAAAATCATTAGAAAATGCTCAAATACTGTCCTAAAACTTCCAAAGAAGAAAAAATCAGTAGGGAAATGCAAAGTAAAATGACATTGAAGTAAAATCTATTGAAGAAAATGAAAGCATGAAAGTTCTAAGAAACAAACTAACCACTGACTAGTTTTCGTAGACTTCCAAAAGGCATTTCACAGTGGAAATGAATGCGGTTCTCTAGGGTCTCAAAGAATGCAGATCTCACAGATACACCCAAGTTGTATATGATGTACAGGGTGTCTCACGGTCGGCGTCCATAAGAAGATTTCGGGAAGTCATGCGATTTGAATCCTGCAAATTTGATAATGGCATTTACGGAACCACCCTTTTCAGATGAAATAATAGCGACATTATGCGACTTTCGTTTATAGCGGAATTTGTTTCAAATTTTCTTATTTTAAATGGAACACCGTGTATAATGATTTTGCTTGTGTTCCTTTTTTTTATTTCCAAAAACCTTTATGAAAAGTTTTTATACCCTACTCTATTCAAACTGACATTTTCAATCTTTTTTGGGTGGTTTTTTTCTCAAAATGCGTTCGGAAATATTTTAGAAGGATTTTTGATGAATGAATGAAGTTGATTTAACATTCAGAAAATTTTGTTTTAGTAAGAATTTTTTGCGTATTTCTGTTAACATTAGCCTCAGGTGGAAATGGAGAAATTCAGCAACATGATCATAATATCAATGTTGGCATTTTTAAAAAATTTCAGAGCATTTGAGGCCTAAAACCCGAATATTCAAAAACAATTTTTTTGCTATTGACGTGTTTCTCTTAATAACCCTCTTAATTATGGCCCCATTTGGTTCATTAAGACTGGGTTGTAAATAGCACAATCATCTGTAAAACCGGATTTTTAAGCAAGTTAATTCGGTTAAGAAACGTAAGATAGAGCAAAAAATCCTTCTATTTTACACTTTGGACAAACTTGAAGATAGATTTATGTGCCAAACCAACATTTTCAAGCACGAAAATCGCACTTTACTTAAATACAATGAGACTGTGTTGATGTTCCCTAAAAATTACTGTTGAGAAATCTAAATTCGGTTAGAAAGCTGGAAAGTTCTGAGAGAAAAGAGAGAATCGAATACAACATAACCTAAAAAAAAAACGGTAAGATTTTGATATGGTCAAGGAACTAAAGTTTTTATGTACAGACATCTCGGAAGTTTTATTCAACGAACCCGTCGACGGCCCTTTGAAATGGGTAGTTTCTTTTGGTGTACGACACAACATAATTTTTAAGTCAAAAATATTTTGAATTTTCACTTTTTATGTAAACGCCAAATGCATTTAAATATCGAACAATAGTCAGAATTGTTATACTTAATGTAAACTGTAGATGCATTTGAGCGCTAATAATGCATAGGTATTTGGAGAGGGAAATCGAAATATTTTATTAAAAATTGTACGCAAGTCGTAAACCTAAATTTTTGGAAAAGAGAATATTTGCGCTCGTTTGCATAAAAATTCACATCTCCCATACAGGCAGGCAGTTGCATCTTTTAGCACCTATAGTAGACACTTGACGCTATATGGACCTGGAAAGTTTCAGAAAAAATCACACGGAACTTAATTTTTGTCGGCTTTGTAAATGTGACTCACAAAATTGATTGACAATGAATGACAAATTGACAGTCAATTGCTTGCGCCTACTTAAAAATTGGCATCTTCCACACCAAAGCACACAGGCGTTTGAGTGTTTCACTTAAAATAAGTAAGTTTGAGACATCTTATGGTAAAACCGGAAATCGCATAGTGTCGAAAATCCCATTATCCAAATTTACAGGATTCGAGTCGCATAACTTTCCCAAATATTCTATTAGACTCTAACCGTGAGACACCCTATCTATAAAGATACAACAACGACTGTAAGATTGCATAAAACTACGAAAATAGATATAAAACGAGGGGTTCGATAAGGCGACACTTTAGACACACACCAAAACTAATCACAGCGGTTTTAGAACACCGGATTTAAAAAACTATCTTGGGGTAACAATGGTATTACCATGGAGAACCACCAAATAATCTCGGATTCGCGGATGATATAGTGTTGCTTACGGATGATCTAAGTGTAGTACGAGATGTGCTGCAACAGCTCCAGAATGAAATGAAAGCGGTTGGTCTGAAGATAAACTATACCACAGCTAAGACAATGAGAAACTTAGTACCAATAGGAAATATACGTATAGAGAGAGCGCAAGTAGAAAATTTAGAAAAGTATTCCTGTCAAAGGCACGAATAAAAAATCAGCAGGGACAACCAAACGTGTGAACTTTTAAGGCACATAAATCTCGGATGGACAGCATACCACAAATTGAGACGCATATTTAACGGCAAAATGCCTAAAAATCTAAAAAAGAAGAAATTTAACACGTGTATCCTACCGGTTCTCACATATGGGGCAAAAACCCTAACGCTCACTCAGGCTTGAGCAAGCAAATTGAGTGTCACACAAAGAAAGATGGAAATATATATGCTGGGGATATCACTCAGAGACAGAGTAATAATGAGGAGATCCGTAGAAGAACAAAGGTAGAAGACATAATTGAAAGGATCTCAAAGTCGAAATGGAGGTGGGTCGGTCAAGTAGCACGACAAGCAGATCAGAGGTGGACGAGAAAACTTCTGGAATGGAGGCCATGGCCAGACAAACGCAATCCCTGAAGAGCACCCACCAGATGGATAGATTTAAAAAAGATCAACACCAACTGGATTGCAGCGGCACAGGAACGAGGAACTTGGAAAATACTTGAGGAGGCATATGTTCGACAGCAGACGCAAATGGCTGGAGAATGATGATAATTATGCTCATTTCCCTAATTTTTCCGGTGTTACCAGGAGTTTAAGTATAAATTAACTATAGTCAACTATAGATAAAATGTTCTATTTGGAAAAAAATATGATTTTAAAGAAATTCAGTTCAAAAGAAGAGTTAATTACGATTTAACGGAAACTGTTATCCAAGTTTTACGTTTGCTTACATAATTACTAATTTAGAGTTAAACTCAAATTTCAAACTTTTTACAACAATTACATTTTCAAACAATTTACTTTTTGCTCGAATGAATCAAAAACTGCACATTGCGCACAGGAAACACGAACATAAAGAGTCAGCTGTTTCATATTTTAAGTTTTTTGGAAATGCCAATTTTCACATTATGTTATTGCCAAGTGACGTTTCGACGGAATTTTTTACGTTTCCAGTTTTTCAAAAGCATAATTTTTCTCAAAAAATAACGATAATTAATTGTTAAACTCGTGGTAGTACAACTAATAGCGAACACTACGGGGAGAGACAATAGATTTAGTATGATGTATTGTCTCGAAGTTAATTAGGTACATTTTTTTTTCGGTGAGGTTTGGGAAAGGCTCTTTTATGCACTACCAGAGCTGGTGGTCTGTAGCCCTGGGTTGTGTGGGACTCCAGCTAAGCTGTTTACCCACTAAAACTCTTTCTTCACCGCCGAGGTGGTATTTGGCCTTACACCGCGGTCATTTCTGTCCTATTGTGCCCTCGTAATTTTACTCCCTCATTATTCCTGTATATTCAATGAATTCCAGAATAATTAGGTACATGCGTAATGCGCAAAGTAATAACACATTAAACATGTTTCCATTGATCAGTGCAGCGGCGCTAAACATTACATTTTTTGATTATGTTCAATATACCTTTGTACACGACTACTTTGCAGGTATAGTCGTATTTGATATGTTTAGTTGATAATTTTCAAAGCTAGTAATATATTTTTAATAAGATTTATTATGATACATACTTGTCGGGACTTACTGCGAGATGAGTCAAATTTTTTCCTTTATCGCTCAACTTGATAAATTTTTGTTTTCTTATGTGATAGTTATGAACCACCACTACCGATCCTACGGGGTAAACCACCTCATCGTCAGAAAGAAAATGCAAATTTCCTTTGATGTTGGTCTCCAATCCTGTTATGAGACGCGGCTGAAGAAACGGCAAACTTGTCGACATTCTCAACACTTTCACCTCGAACTTTTATCAATGTAAATGTCAGCAAAAATTACGTTTTCGACAAAACATCCACACCTTGCAGGTATCTAATATTTTTTGTTAAATCGATCATAGATTTTAAGCAGTTTTGTGGAGCAAGTTGGAGCAGTCCCGTATTAGCCAATTGTCAATTGGGTCAATTATTCCATTATATGTTTGCGAGTGTTTTGATGAATTGCAAAGCCTTGAGTCAATTTTGTTTCATTCAGTAACAACATTAAAAATAACTTCTTCCTTTTACTGAAAAACTCAATTCAACTCAACAGTATAAATCGACGACTTAAATGCAGGCACTTATTTGCCTTATCCTTTATACGTACTTGATGAATTTGTAGGAAATTAATATGTATAAACTCTGAATCAGAGTTCTAACAAAGAAGTAACCATGATAGCGGAAAATATCCATAAAATTTAATGAAGCGAATACGGTAAAAAATGCAAATTTTGGGAAAGAGGTTTAATTTGATTTTCTTTATAGCCGGTCGCCCCCCACTCCATCGTGTAGGCAGCTTCGATCTGTTTTCAAATCTTCCTGTTTCTGGCTGTTCGCATCCAATTTCCTTCCGAAATCTTTCGAATATCGTCTCGCCATCTTAGTTGTGGTCTGCCCACACTTATTTTTGTGGCTCCTGGCCTTCACTGGACTATTCTCTTTGACTACCTTACTAGTTCCCTTGTCGTACCACGTGCCTCTACCAGCGCAATTTCAGATGGCGACGGTAGTGAATCGTAGTAAAGGGGGTGTTCGATGACAGCAAATTCATTCTTACGGTTTCTAAATTTTTTCGTTTTGCGAGGGGGATTTTCAGGTACACCCCTTTTCAATGTTTTCTTCGGCCGCACTTCGGTAATCCTTCACTTCAGGAAAAAACACTACTGAAACGAAGGGTTGAGAAAAAATCCGCAGTTCCTAAGGCCGGCTCTCTTTTTACAATTTTACTTTTTGTTTTCCCTTAGGTTTGCAGAAAAAGTAGCTTTGTCATCTCAGAGTCTTATACCTTCATAGGACTTTGCTATCATAGTAGATAAACAAAGCGGAGGATTGGGAAAGGACAGAAAAACATGTTCCTGTACGAAAATAACGAGTTGGTGGTAAAACTGTTCACCAATGGTTATTAACGCGCAGCAAAGAGATTTTAACTTGACTTTCTAAAATTTCAAATTTTAATAACGCTAATGACTCCTCCGCTCCAGATAACTAGATACAGTGTGTAGCACTTAAGATGGAAACACCCCTGTATTTTAGTTTCGATACAGAGGTAGAATGTTATGAGCTTAATTGCTTAGGGTACCCATTTCCACCTTCAGACAAAAACCCAGCCTACTACGACTTTGCGAATAGGGGTAATTCGCTATATTTTGCGATGCGTGAGAGATATCCAGTTTTATGTCTAATAGGATTTCTCTGTAGATGTCTTATATTGAATTTTTCCGCAGCTTCTCTGCTACATCGAACTCCATCCAAATAATCTAATTATTTCTATTTACTCCCTTAAACTGATGTTCAATAGGCATTTTGTCAGCGCACTGACGCAATTAATGTCAAATTGACAATTACAAGACGCGTAAAAAATTAAAAGAATTTGATTAAAATTTGACTTTTGACTTGAAACTCGCTATTTACCGTGAAAATAACTTTTCTAAACAATTTTTTCTAGTAACTTTTTCTGATATCTCTAACTCATCGCAAAATATAGCGAATTGCCCCTATGCGCAAAGTCGTAGTAGGCTGGGTTTTCATCTGAAGTTAGATATGGGTACCCTAACCAATTAAGCTCATGATGTTCTACCTCTGTACCGAACCTGAAATCCATGCTTCCAAAAATTAAAAAAAACACGGGAGTGTTTCCATCCTAAGTGCGACACACTGTATATTTCAAAATTGTGTTCTCCAATAATTACATATTGAATTCGACAAGTGTAGGAACTAAAATAGGAAATAAAATAAAGTAAGTTCTTACACATTTATTTATGTAAATCTGCACATATATGCAAGACGCAAGGTACAATTTAAAAACAAACGTAAGTTACGGACATGAAAACGTAACAAAAAACGAAATTATAATGTAAAAATAAAGAAAATCAATTATCGGCATCAGGAAGTTGTGAGTTTAAAAATTACCGAATTTCTTAAATTCTTTAAGCACCAAAAAGAAGAAGGGTGAAAAACGGAGATAAAATAGTCCACAATTCACCAAACAATAACGAATTTTTCCCATATAAGTGCGAAATACCAATTCGGTTAGTCAAATGGGACTTACACTTAAATTGGGGAAGAACCTGGCACTTGCTAAATATAGTTTTCCTACAGCCACCGTTCTGGCTAGACAAGGACAAACGACAGACAAGACACAAAACGGCGAAAATGTAATTTACTTTTGTCTATGATTAAAAGTTGGAATCAGCCGGGTTTTGTTCACTGAAAGTAAACCGAAGCGCAGCCCATAAACACAACCTGGATCATATAGAAGGTTGGAACGATTAAAAATGGAATTTAGCCAGTAGTTCACATCTCTGCTAACCCGTGGTTCTCAAATGTATGTAGTTATGAGTTATAATTGTAATAAGCTCTTGTTTTCAACCGCTTTTCATTTGTAATTTGGATTTATTAAGCATGTTTGTCAGATTAGGTTAACAATATTTCGAGGATTATTTGAATTTTGATGTTTGGATATTTGTATCTCTCTCCCAAATATCAGCAGCCTTTATCATGGTTTTGTCTGGCAACGTGGTGGTTGCCCCACCTCCGCGGACCATCGATATTGAAGGGAAAGGACAAAGCATGGATCGATCAGGGTGACCCAGCGAAGGGAATCAAGTACTAGAAATAGCCGAAGGCGGTCGATCACCGTCACTTTGACCACCGAGTCCTTAAACCGACCTTGACCACCGAGTCCTGCTACTTAAACATCTGTCTGGATGAGATCTGGACCTAACACGTAGGCATCGACAACACGCGTCGGCGACTTCATAGACTAGCTGATTGATGAGATGATAGATGACAAGGGCGAGTATTGCCACTTGTTGAACATTATAATTTGTATTTTCTGGATTTTTTTATTTAATTAAGCAATTAACGTAGAGTATAAATCAAACGGTTAGCAGACGGTAGTTTGTAGTCATCAAACCACGTTTTCGTTGTAACTGTTAAAAATGGAATTTAGCCAATGGTTCACCTGTCTGCTAACCCGTTGTTCAAATGTATGTAGTAA